TGGCAGCGCATTCAGGAGGCGAGGCTTTGCACTCGGTGGGCAGGGAGTGGCAAGGGGGCGGGGGGTGGGGGGAGGAGGCAGGCCCTGGGCCTTTGTCCTGGCCTGGGCTCAGGCAGAGCGAGGTGGGTGAAGGAAGGACCCTGACGCCTGCCCTCCCTGCCGCAGAGCCCTGCCACGTGTCACCACACCCAGGATGCTCGTTCCTGTGGGCTAAGGGCTTTTGTCCCCACATCTCCGGTAGCACTGCAGGTCTCTGTGACTTGGTCAGTCCCGAACACGTTACTGTGGACTGCCTTTTCAGCTGGGAGACGGTCTCAGGCGATGGGACACAGTGGAAAATTTTGGCAAGAGGAGAGGAGGAATCCTTGCTGAGAAAGAGTGTTGGAAAGGGGAGGGAGATGTTGGGACTGAAAATCCTGGGGTCTGGACCAGGCCTGGAGTGGGTTTGGGCGGTGGGGAGGGGAGACTTGTAGGTCAGGGCCCTAGCTCACAGCAACCTCAATCTCCTGGGCTCAAGCGATCCTCCTGCCTCAGCCTCCCGAGTAGCTGGGACTACAGGCATGCGCCACCGTGCCCGGCTAATTTTTAGAAAAGGAATCTTTACAAATTGACACAGCCCATGGCATCACAGCTGGCAATTTTAAGAAGTCCCCATGAGCACGAAGTCATCAGGAATCAGTAGCTTGATGTCACCTGAAAAGGCAGGGGCACGTCTTCACACTCTGCTGTGTGGATGGCGTCAGTCTGCTGCTTCGCGGCACAGCTGCTCCGACCGTCCCCCGTCACGTGATACCGTGCTGGTCTCCTACATTGCTGGCATCAAACTAGGACATCATGGAGAGAAGAACGTAACAGGCACCTAAAGGTTGTTGTACGACACATGCGACGCAGGATAGGACAGCTGATGAACCCCACAGAAATACGAGGGCCCGGCTACCTCACTGATGTTTCTGGGATTCTGGAACATACCGGGATAGTCACTCCAAAGTGAAGGGGAAGTTGTCTCTCTTTATCCCCTCGAACAAAAAGGAGGCATGATGCTTCGCGAAACCCTCTGAACTCTGCGAGGAGTGTGCGCTAGGCTTGGTTGTGCTCTTCTGGTTCGTTTGTAAGTGAGCCATGAGACTTCCAGGTGTGGGTACTCGCTGCAGGAGACAGCTCTTAGGCTGGTCTGGGTTACAAGCAGATCTGCCCCTTGGGCCTTGTAAGCCAACATATCCAGTGGTGCTAAGTTCCTTTAGCAGAGCAGGGTGTTGAAGCACTGTTCAGAGAACCACAGCAGAGACCCTAAGATTTGGGAGCAAAGCTCTGATCTGTTCAGTGAGCGATTGTTCTCCTTTTGTTGAGCAGCTCCTGGCATATCACCGAGCCCTGGGAGAGGTATTGTACACCTGCCGGAAAGGTGTCAGAGGGTCATGCAACTTGTGCTTCTCCTTATTAGCTGGGTGTTATCTGCTCCACCAAACAAGAAAATTGAACATGTTCTGTAACATTCCATCACTTCATAGAAGGAGCATAAACAGCACTAGGCTCAAGCAGGTCTGTACCCAGCACATTTGAGACCCAGAGTCAGAGTATACTGGTAAATATTTAACAGCGAGCTCGTGGGGGGAACAGCGCTCACTTGTGGTGTAAATATTTCCACGATGGCTGACTTCAAGCTGGGAAGAGATCTCGTCATCTGTTCTCATGAGCCAGTGCAAGCTGGCTCCAGGGCACCACTGCCCAGAGTGGATCACTTTTAATATCCTCTTCCTTTACAAACAAGTTACTTTCAGAAGATAATCATGAAATGAAATCAGTAATAATAACAATGGCTAGAAAAGAGGTACAGCACAAATTTTCTTTCATTGAACTTTATTGATACAACCGTGCTGACAAAACATTTTCTTAAATAAAAAATGAAATTAATAAACAGTACAAAAGAGTAATGGATTAATACCTTTAAATCATATTACTGTATTTTTTTTTGAAAAAGTGAAAAATCTTTTAAAAAGATGTCAGTCTGTCACAGTAATGAAGAACATTACAGTTTCTGATTTTGAGCTTTAACTTCTGTAAGTGTGTTGAAGACTTCATCAAAATTGATCTTCTTTGAATATAAATATTCAATGAACAATATAGCCAGATTTGGGATTCTATCTTTGCTCATAGTTGATCAACAAACGTTTTTTGTTAATCTTAATTTCAAAAATATTTTCTACATGAAGCAACATATAAACAAACAGTGTCCATAAATAAAGTTTTATTGGAACACAGATACACACATTAATTTACATTTTATCTGTGGCTGCTTTCACGCTACAATGGCAGAGTTGAGTAGTTGTGACAGAGACCATGTCGCCTGCAAGCCGTATTTATTATCTGGCCCGTTAAGAAAAGGTTTGCCAACGCTAGCCTAAAGGATTAAACATAAAATTTGACTGTGTTAAAGTGTACAAGATTTGAATTTATTTTCATCAAAAAGCCTGACTTATAGTAAATAGAATAAAAACCATTTGAACAACTTATGTTTTCAACAAAGTTAACAATCATCTGTGACAATTAAAAGATAAAATACAATTATAATTAATAAATATCAAAACCTGAAATTATTTAAATAAAGTTGAAGTTTTTAATTTAATTTTTGAAAACTCAAGATCATTGTATTAAATGTTTTTACAACACAAAAGCTACACACAATTCTGGCATTCCATGTGCCTCTAGGTGCCCATAGAAAGGATTGGTATTATGCTTCGTCGTGTTATTTCTAGACCTACATATGTGGAAATTGAAGAGTAAAATGAATAGTTGAATGTTGCAAAATATTACTCAACTGCTCATGCAAAATTTCCACTCCACTACTGTGAAAAATATGCTAATTATCAGGTACCTTTGGGATCATGAATTGGAACAGGAAGAGAAGGAAAAGATAGATGCTCAATGTTACTAGGAAACAATATTTTGTTATCAAGCATGTGTTGTTAAAAAATCTCTTGCATTTCAGGCTTGTTCTTTCTCTTTGGGAAGCGCTTCCACCACGCAAACCCTCCTCCCGTTTGGAAGGGGTGTCGGCCTGACGTTCACAGAGGTGAAACTCACAGACTTCCCAGCGTTCAGATCTTTTGTGTCAAGGACATTAAGCAAGTGCTGCAGAAACGGGCTCCCTGGGGCCTGAGCAGCGTCAGCCATGCCAATGGATGTGTAAGGTTGAGATTCGCCAGCGCCGAGCACCGGGCCTGTGTGCTTTTTAATGTGTGCGTGTTGGGGGGGGGTGTTCATAATATGTGGGGCCCCCTGAAGCATGGAGCCCAGGGCAGTGGCCCCTCTTGCTGGGTCTAAGGGTGGCCTCTGTGGCCCCCACGTGGTAACTGCCCCAAGGTCCACAGCGGCAGGCTGCCAGCAGTCTCTGTCCTAGGGGACCCTGCCCAGGAAATGGCTGACGGAAGGAAAGGCAGGCACTCTTGGCCCAAGTTGCCCCATCATGTTCTCCCGCTCTCAGGAATCGGGAAATTTAACGGACTGGGAACCAAATCAAGTTCATGCCAGAGTTCTGCAGGAAGGCAATGAGCTTCCCCCTTTGAGGTCCTAGAGCCGTCCGGGACAATCTCGGCCCCTGTCCTTCTGGAAGGGATTTCCGGTTTCCTCCTCAGAGTCCGGCAGGCCTCTCAGCATCCTTCTCACACTCCTTTTATCTTCTGCTGGTGTCGTCTCGCGACTTGAAAAGGAAGGAACGGTACCCCGCACGCCACGTAAGGGGCTGTCTGCACGCCCGCTCTGCAGGCTGGGCGGCATTGGCCACTGCGGACACGCCCTCTGTCTGGGCCACGTCAGGAGGTCACACTGTGGTCTGATAAGGCCTGTCCATGCCACCCACACGCGCGAGAGGTGGGATCAGATAGACCTGCCATCACGCCCTGGTTCCACTACGCACCCATGCTGTGACCTTGGGCAAGTTCCTGAAACTCTCTGAGCCTCCTCAGCGCCTCCCGCTAAGAAACGGCACCTCAGAGGGGTTAGGTTCCCGAGTCCTGCCAGCCTAGACAGCGTCTCTGCAAGGATTAGAACAAGTGCTCCTCTGGGCACAGGGCTCGGCTGCGTGCCGGGCAGGGCACAGTCTGCACGGGGAGCGGCCGGGGCGCGTGCCGAAGCACCCAGGCCCCTGCGAGCAGTCACTGCCACCCCCTTCCTGCTTCTTCCCAGAGTCTCAGCCCAGCCACAAGCGGCACAGGGAACCAACTGGCAAGCTGCGGGCTTGGGGACCATGCAGTGAAACGGCTGCAGAGAGGAACGCCGCGTGTGTCCCCGACAGTGAGCTGGAATCCACGCCTCGCGCTGTCGCCGCAGGCCTGTGGGAGAAAGGGCGCTCACTGATCCTTTCAGGCCTCAGTTCATCATCTGGACGTTCGGGGGACACCTGTGTTCAGGGGAGCCCAGATGTGAGGCGCGACCCTCGCTCTCCTGAGAGGCGGACGTTGGAGGGGACGGCAAGGTCGTTCATCATCAGTGCGACCGCGGGCTCTGCTCTCGCGCACTCTTCACGGCTCACGGGCGTTTCCACGACATGCTCTCGGCACGTGCTCACCTGAGCCCTGTGGATGGGATCGGGACAACCTCCCAACCTGGTGCCATTTTATAGCTGAGGAAACCGGTGCTCCTAGCACTGCAGCGGCTGTGAAGCCGGGACTGGAACTTGGTTTGGGTGACCCCTGGGCTCAGCTCACATGGGAAAGCGAGAAGGCGGAGCCCCCGCTGCACGGGCCTCCCCGTGCGCCTCCCCGTGCGCTTCCCCGTGCAGCCCGGCAGGCGGCGGAAGCGCCTGCTCCAGCCAAGCCCACCACCAGCGAGCCACGTTTGCTGCAAGGAGGATCCTGTGCTTGCAAACCACGCTCGGGGCATGGCTGCCTCCTCCTGCAGTCTTCTTCTCTCTCTGGCTTCTCCTGAGACTGGTTTTGTTCTCTGCATGCCAAGTCTGCGGGTTTGGGCATGGCTGGCCAGAGAGATTTGGGTTCATGTTTAGGAGGAGGTAGGCAGCCTCCCTGCTCCTGCGGACCCAAATCCTTTCCTGGAACTCTGCATGTGGAGAAACTGGACAAGAGGCCAGGTTTTTTTAATTTCATCATATTATGGGGGTACTAATATTGTTAAGGTTACATATATTGCCCTTGCCACCCCTTACCCCCTCCCCCGGCGAGTCAGAGCTTCTAGCTAGTCCATCCCCCAGGTGGTGCGCATCACACTCATTATGCAAGTACACACCCATCCCCTCCCCCCCTCCCACCTGCCCGACACCTGATAAATGGGTTTTTTTTTGACGTTTTGGTTACATTTTATATCTTTGCCTCTCCCTAGGAAGGGTTAGAGGTATGCCCTTCCCCCCACAATGCTCACCACATCCCTCAGATGCGGGTCTACCCCCCCCCCAAATCCCTGGTGAGCACCACCACCATTTGAGCACCATAGTTTTAATCAGTCAGTACCAATTTGATGACGAGTACGCGTGGAGCCCATTTTCCTGATCTTGTGTCGCCTCACTTTGGATAATGGGCTTAAGCTTAATCCAGGATAGTATAAGCGGTGCTAGCTTGCTGTCGTTTCTTAGAATTGAGTAATATTCCATTGTGAACATATACCAAATTTTAATTATCCACTCATGAATTGATGGGCACTTGGGTTGTTTCCATGTCCTTGCAATAGTGAATTGTGCTGCCATAAACATTTGGGTGCAGATTTTATAGTAGAATGTCTTATGCTCTTTTGGGTAGATGCCCAACAATGCTATTGCTGGGTCGAATGATATCTCTATTTTTAGCTGTTTGAGGAATCTCCAAATTATTTTCCACAAAGGTTGCACTAATTTCCAGTCCCACCAGCAGTGTGAGAGTGTTCCTATCTCTCCACATCCTCACCAACATTTGTTGTTGTGGGATTTCTTGATACAGGCCTTTCTCACTGGGGTTAGGTGGTATCTCATTGTGATTTTGATTTGCATTTCTCTAATGATTAGAGTTGTTGTGCATTTTTTAAATATGTTTGCAGGCCATTATTCTGTCTTCTTTGGAGAAGTTTCTGTTCATTTCTGTTGCCCATTTCTTGATGGGGTTGTTTGATTTTTTCTTGTTAATTCTTTTGAGTTCTAGATAGATTCTTAGTAGACCTTTATCAGAAGTGTAGACAGCAAATATTTTCTCCCATTCTGTGGGTTGTCTATTTGCTCTAATGATAGTTTCCTTGGCTGTGCAGAAGCTTTTTAATTTGATCAGGTCCCATTTGTTTATTTTTGTTGCTACAGTACTCTTGGGGTCCTTCCTCAAAATTCTTTGCCTAGGCCAAGTCGTGATAGGGTTTTCCCAAAGCCAGTTTTTTTTGTTTGTTTGTTTATTTTTTGTTTTGTTTTTTGTTTTTTTTTGAGACAGAGTCCACTTGTTTGCACAGGCTAGATGAGTGCCGTGACGTCAGCTACTCTCACAGCAACCTCAAACTCCCTAGGCTTCAAGCGATCCTCCTGCCTCACTCCCGAGTAGCTGGACTAAGGCATGCGCCACCATGCCCGGCTAATTTTTATATATTTAGTTGGCCAATTAATCTTCTCATTTATAGTAAGACGGGGTCTCGCTCTTGCCTCAGGCGTGCGAACTCCTGACCTCGAGCAATCCACCCGCCTCGGCCTCCCAGAGAGCAGGATTACAGCGTGAGCCCACACGCCCGGCGAGGCCAGTTTTTAATAAAGTGGCTGTGTCTTAGTTTCCTGCTGGTGTATGTCGCAGGCGCGGCTCCCTGGAAGCCACTGAGACAGATCTGTGTGGGGAGAGATCTGTGTGGGAGATCTACGAGGGAGGGCCTGGACCCACACCTGTGTGAGGGAAGGAGGATAGAAGGGGACATCCAGGCACCAGGCAGTCTTCACAAAGGCTCGGCTGACCCCAAGGAAGCCCAGAAGTGCATCCCAGCCTTTACTCAGCGTCATCAGTCACTGATGCGGTGCCCCTGAGGAAGGGCATGCCCCCCGGGCAAGGGGCTCTCCCCCGCCCGCAAGAGGGCGACAGGGAGAGGCCCCCGCAGACACATCCCAGCGGCTGGGGGCCAATGAGCACCCAATTCCTGGGAGTGGACCTGAGTGACACGTCCTTGTGACCACCTTGCTATTATCTTCTTTGTCCATGTGTCCTCAGACCCTAGCGGAGGTGGGATGACCCACAGAGCAGGATCAGAATGCCGGCACACGCCATCAGAACCGTCCCCAGTGAGCCAGCACTCTGCCCTGGGCTTCGTGCGGGCGTGGGATTTCAGAACCGCCTGGATGGCTGGGATGAATTCGGGAGAGGAGAGGTTACTTAAGATAAAAGGAGATGACCTGGAGGCGGGCCTGATGAGCACAGAGGATCCAGGAGTCGGGGGATGTATGGGGGTCTTCCCATCACAGAAAGCCTTGCCTGGGGAGGAGGGAGCAGGGATGCCCGAGCAAAGACGGCGAAGCTGCATCCCTGCTAGATGCGGGGACACCCCCTCCTGCCTCCCTCTGCCCCAGGGAGGCCCAGTTGCCATTGCAGGGACAGGGACAGCAACAGGCCCTGGGGGCAGCAGGGGAAGCCAGGAGGGGCCGACGCAGGGCAGGGCCCGCTGTGTGGGGCTGAGCTGGCCTGGCCGCAGCGGCCCCAGAGGGCCATAGGAGGCTGACGCAGCCATCAAGGACAGCCCGTCCAAATTAGCACAGCCGTTTCCCTCTAGTGCAGGTTTTCCATAGCGGAAAGAAGATACCGATGGCGGGGGAGCGGACTGACTGCTTTGGGGTCCCTCCGTGACTCAGAGCGTTTTCCAGTCCGTTGAACCGGGCCATGCTGCGTGAGTGTCCTCCCGGCGCTCTGGCGACGCACAGTGAGCAGGGAATTTAAGCCATATGCTGATGATCCTTTACCCTGAACTCACCGCATGGCTCCCTAGGAGCCCTTGATGTCCAGCAGGACGCACAGCCTTTGTAGGAGGTGTTCTATGCTGTCCCTGTCCTCCCACCCCACGGGCCCGGCACGTTTGAGGAACGGAAGTTGTGTTTCTAGGAGTCCAAACGGACTCAGGCCTTGAAGGCTCAAGTCCTAGATTCGGAGCTCCTGGAGCTCCCTTGGACTCAAGCCCTGGCGGCCCTTTCACTTCCAGCGGGGGGGGGTGGCAGCGCCATTCAGGAGGCGAGGCTTTGCACTCGGGTGGCAGGGGAGTGGCAAGGCGGGTGGGGAGGCAGGCCCTGGGCCTTTCTCCCAGCCTGGGCTCAGGCAGAGCGAGGTGGGTGAAGGAAGGACCCTGACGCCTGCCCTCCCTGCCGCAGAGCCCCTGCCACGTGTCACCACACCCAGGATGCTCGTTCCTGTGGGCTAAGGCCTTTTGTCCCCACATCTCCGGTAGCACTGCAGGTCTCTGTGACCTGGTCAGTCCCGAACACGTTACTGTGGACTGCCTTTTCAGCTGGGAGACGGTCTCAGGCGATGGGACACAGGATGGAAAATTTTGGCAAGAGGAGAGGAGGAATCCTTGCTGAGAAAAAGAGTGTTGGAAAGGGGAGGGAGATGTTGGGGACTGAAAGTCCTGGGGTCTGGACCAGGCCTGGGAGTGGGTTTGGGGGTGGGAGGGACTGACTCAGGCTGCCAAAGATGGAGAGTCCAAATCGCAGTGATCATGTTCAAAAGAGAAGACAGTTCTCCCAAATTCTGTGTGTGTGCGTGTGTGTGCACGTGCACAGACATGCACATGTGCTAGGGTGGAGGGCAGTTCCCAGAGCTGTGGGGACTGAAGCTGCTTTTAGTAGCTGCTTAGCACTTTGACCTTAGGAAGAGTCGTAGCTGTTCAATGCAGGGACCTAGTAGGACCCAGTAGGGCACCAGGAATCTACCCTGAGCTGGGGCAGGGAAGTTTTCCAGAGAAGGGAGAGTTTGGTCTGAAGTTTGGAGCAGGCATTGGGCTCTCGTGGGCTACGGGGTGAAGAACAAGGAGGCAGAGGAAGAGGAGACCCAAAGATGAGCAGCAGGTGTCTGGGGGTGGAGGTCTCATGTGGTGGAGGAGGTGTTCACAGCTAAGAGAACTGGGTCCTGGTTACTGAAGGGGGTCTTACCTGCCACACGGGAGCAGATGGAGGCCTGGAGTTGCTCTCTCTCATTCCTGTCTGGTTTTCGTCCTTGACTGGCAAAGGCACGGTGCTCTGTGTCTCCTAGATACATGGGTTCAAAATGTTTGGCAATGTTAACAATTCCATGACCCCATGTGTCCCCAACATTTCACATTATCATCAGAACCCCACCTGGAAATGGGCACAAGAGACAGATCTTTTCCTTTCCCTTTTCCTTATATGCCAGATAAGTCAGCAGAGGTTCAGAGAGCTCTGTGGCTTGCCCAAGGTCACACAGCAGCTGGAGGGAGAACTGGGGTCAGACCTCCTGAGCTTGTTGCTGTTTGTCCCTTGCCGGGCCGGCCTCCTTGACACCTTTCGGAGCCCCTGCTGGCTCCGTTTCTCTGGGGTCAGGGCTGCCCCACCTGACAGATCTGCATGGGGAGCCCTGCTATGTGCTCACCATGCCAGGCACTGGCAGAATGAAGACCTATGGCTCCTGTCCTCAGAAGCCTACTGTCAGGTGAGGGCCAGACACGGAAACAGATGCACCAACATGGTAAGTAAGATGGGTGCAAGAAGAGAGGCCAGCCCATGGCGGGTCCTGGACCCAGGCTGGGGGAGGAATGTGTGCAGGTAGTCTGGGAGGGCTTCCTGCAGGCGGAGAGGCCTGAGTTAAGGGGAAGAGGAGAGCGAGCAGAGAAGAGGAAAGCTAGAGGGAGACCACAGGTATTTGAAAAGTGAAGTGCAAGGTGGGGGGTGGCAGGGGCAGTTGTGAATAGGGGAGCTATGGAGATTGGTCAGCTTCTTTCCTTGGAAGAGGGGCCTGTAAGCCCTGCTAGGGCATCTGGACTTTGTCTTACAGGCCTTGGAGACAGGCAAGGTTGCATCTAGAATGATCTTTCCTAGTGGGCAAAAGCGTCTGCGTAGGGGGAAGGGCTGAACTGAGACAGGACACCAGCACAGAGACTGTCGGAGTGACACCCAGAGAGAGGAAGGTACAGGGGGACACATCTGGGAGATGTCCCTACCTATAATTGGCAGCATGTGGTGATGGGGGGCAGTTCAAGGATGACCCCCAGGTGGAGAAACAGGTGCACAGGTGGGTTGGAGGGCTGGCCGTGGACTGGCTGGAATTAGGCTACTGGGGAGCTATGTGCATGCGGTGGGAATGAAACCCTGTACTGGCCCCGTGTGGTCCTGAAGCGTGGGACAAGTGCTCAGAGAGGGCAATGTCCTCAGGAGAGGGCCAGGATGGGGGTGGGGGTGGGGGCTTGGGACTGGGGGGAGAGTGAAGCCCTTGAGAGACATTCCTGTGTCCCTTGTCAGCCCAGCCCTGAGCACAACACAGCTGAGCGTTGGCTGAAAGCAATGTCCTTGCTTAAGAAGCAAATTTCAGCTCTTCCCCCTAAGCGTGAGCCGTTGTGTTCCGTAACACACACCTCTTCTCTGCAGCCGTGGGACGTGTCCATGTCCGAGAGCCGTGCCCTGCACCTGCTGAGCACCTTGCAGGCGGCATACCTCCTGCCCCACGGAGGGAGGCGCTGGGACAGGGACACTCCTGGTTGCAGGTGCTGTGACATCAAATGGAAGACTCAATTTCTAGCTCCACGGGGGAACTAGAAGCAGGTTCTGTCCTTTGGAACGATGAGCTTTACCCCAAGTCAAGGGCTTGAATAAGGGAGGAAAGCACGGGACACTGCCCTCCAGGTGCATGACCCGGGGGAAACTAGGGGGGCTTCCCAGCAAGAGGGGCGCCAAGGGCCCTCCTCACCAGCCAGACAGGGCCAAGCGTGCTGACGGCAGCAACCGAGGCCGGCTGTGGTTCCGTAGTCCTGGCCCCATCAGGAACTGGAGCAGCCTGGACAGCTGGGTGCCAAGCACGCCTGGAAGCTGGGCCTTGCCTTCTCTGGCCCTGGGAGGCACATGTCCTTCAGATCTCAGCAGAGTCACAACCGCTGCCGTTCGGTCAGGCTGGGCGGCTGTGGCTCTGGGTGCCTGGAGAGTCAGGTGTTGTGCCCTTTCTATTCGTGGGGCCACCGGGCACAGTCCTGCCTCCCTTTTGATGAGAGGAGACTTGGGCAGCTCTGCCAGGCACAGGCGATCGTGCCCCCGCCAATCCCTCGCAATTACCCTGCTAAACATCAGTCACGATGCCACGCCACGCCACGCCACGCCAAAGCTGGCACGGGAGCTAAATTCAAAGCGTTCACTCATAACCGAGGATGCCTCAGCCCGATTCGCAGGTGGGGCTCCCACCAGACAGGGCACAGCTGGGTGCCCTGGGCACAGGTCTCGTTACAGTGGGCGCTTGCTTGGGGGGGCCCCCTCCTGCCCGGGTCCCGCTCACCAACAGGGCATGGAGGACGGCCCAAACGGCCCAGGCGTGGAGGATGCTAGCTGCAGTCCTGTCACTCCTGCCACGTGGGACCTTGGGCCAGTCACTCAGGTTCCCGTCTCCCACACGGACAGACACCCGGTTGACTGCCTCACAGGGCCGTGAGGAGAATAAAATCAGCTCCTAAACGAGAAAGCGCATTTGAAAGTTAAAAAGATCTGCCCTCGATTTCTCTGCCTGAGCAAACCCAATCCCCGAGGGCGGCGGCCCTCAGGCCTGTTCCACCGCCCTGCTGGCCTCCTCCTAAACAGCCACTGACACTGCAGCAGGGACGGAAGGAACCGGCCTGTTTCAGCCCCGAGGTGAGAGCAGGGGGGACAGGAAGGCAGGCTGCGATCACACATAACCGCCCCCCCACCCCCGCACGCTGGCCCCCACTCGAGGACAGCCGCCGTCCCAGGGCAGGGGCTAATGAATGACACCAGGAGACACAACGCTGGCGGGCTGTCCCTGCCTCTTCCGTGCAGCCCCAAGAGTCTCAGGGAAGCCCCCGACTGCAAAACGACCAGACAGTTTCTTGGCAGGAAGCGGACGCCGTCCCCGAGGGTGGGGGCTTCTCCCTCCCTCCCGTGCCGTGAAGACCCGTCTGTGCTGAGAGCATGGAGGGGCCACACCTGTTTGGACCGGGCTCTTCTGGAGACGCCGAGGCCCTGGCTGCTGAGCTGCGGCCAGCCCCTCAGCCCCTATTTATTCTTTCCCGCAGGCCCTCCCTCCACAGATGTCTGCGGGGCCGCAGGGCCGAGCAGCACCAAGCCCGCCCCGCCAGGCCGTCGGGCCCAGACGTCTGACTCCGGGCTCACACGGCTCCCTTGGCGGTCACGCTTGTAGCCCTGGCCCCAGCCGGCGTCCTCTTTCTTCCCCTTCAACGGCTGCCAACGCCGGTGCTGTTTGCAGGTGTGTGCTGCCGTGTAGCCCCGAGGGCCCACGCGAGGGCTGGATTCCCAGTCTTCCTTGTACCCGCTGTGCTTGGGGCCCGCAGGCCCACGTGCTGGGGTTCTGAAGCTCCTGCCTTGTGCCCTCTGCCCTGGAGGTGGGACACTTCCTCAACAGCCCCCAAGCCATCTTCCTCCCTGGTAAGACTTGCTTTTGCTGTTGTCCACCTCACTCCACGCATGGCCTGTGATATGGTTCTGGCCAATCAGATATGAAGAAGAGGATCTGGGGAAAGGTTTCTCACTGATAAAAGAGAAGAGGTGGCCCCTCTCTTCCTCAGTGGTGTTGTCTGTGTGTGATGCCTGGAACACTGGCAGCCATCCTGAGAACATGAGAGCATCCACACACTGAAGGGGGCAGAGTGGAAACGGGGAAGGAGACTGGGCCGGCAATAATGTCACTGCATTGCTAAATTAATTGACTTTGGTGCTACCCTTCCTCGAGACTTCTTATTATGTGGCATTTTTCTCCATGTCATTTGAGGTTGGGTTTTCTGCTCCTTGCAGTAGAAGCATCCTCACTGATTTAAGCCCCGTCTCTACTGGCTCGCAGCCCTTTACCTCCTCATTGGGAGCCAGAGAGGTCAGAGGCAGGTAGCTTCATACTCCATTAAAAGAAGGGGAAAAAAGCTAAGCCAAGTGGCCAAGTGTTGTGGCTACATTGTCTGGGACTGCCCCAAAGCCGTGTGGTTTGGTGACGTGCACACTAGTAACACTGAGCCTCGGGACCCTCCCCTCCCCTGACTCTTTTCTGTCCCCAGCCAGGGGTCAGGCTGGGAGGCCCTCATACTCATCCCGTACCTGGGCGTGGAGGGCCATCCCTCCACAGTCGCCCCGCGTGGCCAGCCCCCGGAGGATGCCTTGCGGCTGTGGCTCACCCTCCTGAGGGACCAGGGCTTTCCCGCCTCTGCAGCTGCAGGCGTCTGCCTCTCTCCCCGCCATTCCGCTGGAGGTTGGTTCCCCCAGCGGCTCCTCCAGCCAGGAAGGCAAGGCTTCCGGGAGCAGCAGGGGTCATGCACGGGAAAGCCCCAGGGGCTGGGGGGGCTCTCACCGCCCTCCTAAGGAGCCTCCAAGGGGCTGGGGTGCAAGGGAGGCAGCTTGGAAGCAAAGAACAGGGCGTCGGCCAGGGCGGAGGCTCCAGTGGGGGACAGGCTGGCAACAGGGGCGACCCCTGCACTGGAAGCTCCTTGGGGATACGAACCCTGTTCGTCCATGCTATCTCTTGTCTGGCATGGTCAGTAGGTGGTCAGGATGCGTGTCCAGTGGTACGATCATTCATTCATTCATTCATTCATTCATCCATTCATTCATCCATCCATTCATTCATTCATTCATTCAACAAAGACATTGCTCCCCCAAGAGGTGAAGTGCTGAGTAGGATCGACAAGGTCCCTGCTCTCTTGTTCTTGCAAGTGGCCGTAAGCAGCGGCAAGCTAGCTACCTAGCTAACTCAATGACCAACTCTCGTTTTTAGTTAATTCTGTGTGCTACAAAACATGCCAGCCTCTGTACACTGCGGGACGGGGTGCTGCGGAGTGGGGGGATGGCTGGGGGGCCTTGCTGAGGGCAGAGCCTGAAGGCCGAGGGGCCGGCAGCAGGGACTTCAAAGGAGGGTCTTCCCAGGTGAAGAGGCGGCAACAGCAAGGCCCTGGGCGGGCCGGGCCTTGTCCCAGGCCCTGTGGCTGGGAGGCGCTGGGGCCCTGCAGGAGCTGAGGCCAAAGGGCAGGGCAGGGAGCCGGCCTCCCAGCCCTGTCGCCACACTCGGGGTCGGG